GTACTTTGGTGGAGCTTTTATTTATTCCGAACCCCAGCACGTAACAATATCATCCCTAATCTATTTCTATGTTTTATGTTTGTTTCTATAAATAAACAAAACGGCTGACCTAGCGTTAAGCTATTTGTCGGTCACGACCAGTGTCGCCGACCCACACCATGAGACTTGAGGTTCGAAATTTATGACCGACCGTACGTACGTACCTATTCCAACTCACTGAAATAAGACTATATATTTTTGGCGATTTGCAATCCTCATCTCTATTGCGAAGTACCGTAAGTCGTTTTGGTTTATTTTTTATTACTTAGATAGGCGGACGAGCTCACAGCCCACCTGGACTTAAGTTATTACCGGAAACCATAGACATCTACAACGTAAACGCCGCCACCCACCTCGAGACATGAGTTGTAAGGTCTCAGATTTAACAGTACAACGGCTGCCCCACCCTTCAAACCGAAACGCGTTACTGCTTCACGCCAGAAATAGGTGGGGTGGTGGTACCTACCCGTGCGGACTCACAAGATGTCCTACCACCAGTAACTGGCCTAAAATGACTTCTGAACCCTTCAAACTCACAAAATCCCCCCCGAAGACGCAGCTTCCGAAAAGCGCCGAAGTTCTCGTAAGCAAAACCGCGTTCGCCCGACCAACACGCGAGCCATGACTGCTTTATGCACAGATACAGCTTACCGAAGTTGTATTACACCAAATACTCTATTGTAGCCGAGACGAATGCGTAGCGCTCTGCCATAAATAGCTCCTGATTATTTGTGTTTGCGTAAATGCGTTAAATACGGCTAGGCGTTGTGTTTCGACTTAGTACTCGACAGTAGTATCTTCGAACTACGCCAGTCTTGAACATAATTAAAACTAATTTCATATGTATATCGAAGGGTATATATAGACTAAGGCTATTTGGTTTAAAAGACCAAGGTCCAAGTACCAAGTTTAGTTACTGATGGTAGGACCTCTTGTGAGTCCACGCGGGTAGGTACCACCACCCTGCCTGTTTCTGCCGTGAAGAAGTAATGCGTTTCGGTTTGAACGATGGAGCAGCCATTGTAACGATACTGAGACCTTATAAGTCATATCTTAAAGTGGGTGGCGGCATTTACGTCGTAGATGTCTATGGGCTCCGGTAACCACTTAGCACCAGGTGGTCTTTCAGCTCGTCCTCACCCCTCAATTTATAGATACTGTTACTCGCTGGAGTCGGGATAAATAAAAATTCTACCGAATTACAAGTTAACACTGTATTAAAGCTTAAAACACTCAACAAACACTTTAAAACTCTCAATTCGCTTCTTCCGCTTTGCTTCAGGTGGTCCGTTCGCTGTTTTGCTTCGAGTAGTTCCGATTACTAACTGCGTGCCATCTCTGCAACACTTTTATAGCCGGTACCACATCCCTAGAATTATCGAGAATATTCCACACGTTTCTAGTATTGTGTTTCCGCTATCTGACAATAGATGGCGTTGTACTTCTCGATCGTTCTAAATGCTACGAGACCCTTCGATATCAGTTCAGCTATTCGGCGATAGATGGCGTTACTCTTACCGTCGTAACAATACGTTTCACAGGCGCGATCTGCATGCGGCTCATAGTATAGAGTTATTTAAATGAATAGTGCGTAGGTCTGGTAACACCAATTACAGCAATGCGAAGAATTATGTCAGCGCGTATTAACCCGAGGTCGTTTCTTTGTATGATTCAAATTACTACGCTACATAAATTCAGTGTTAATTCAACGAACATTTCAGTAAATGCTACAAAAAACGAAAGGTTTTTACCGGTGGTAGGACCCCTTGTGAGTCCGCACAGGTAGGCACCACCGCCCTGCCTATTGCAGCCGTGAAGCAGTAATGCGTTTCGGTTTGAAGGGTGGGGAAGTCGTAGCTATACTGAGACCTTAGAACTTATATCTTAAGGTGGGTGGCGCATTTACGTTGTAGACGTCTATGGGCTCCAGTAACCACTTAACACCAGGTGGATTGTGAGCTAGTCCACTTATCTAAGCAATAAAAATCGATGTAATCATTGCTATCAAAGCCCAACGGAACCACGTTCCTCTTGGACTGTGTCTGAAGGGGGAAACTTAATAGTCAAGGTCACTTGTCTGGGAAAGCGAATGTTGGTACGTGCCAACGATGATTCCTTGACGGGCATTAAAGGTAGATTTTCTTCGGGTGCGTTTATTATTTTTTTATTGCCGGCAGACGAGTCTACAGCCCACCTGATGGTGAATGGTTACCGTCGCCCATGGACGTCAGCAATGCCAGGGACAGATCCAAGCCGCCGCCTACCGTTAAGTACTCTCCACAAGCCTCGTTTGAAGAAGGAGACGTCATAGCGCTCGGGAAACACCTTATTGTAACGAAATCCGAACGTAATTAAGACCGACTCTCAGTTAAGAATCCCACCAATACTTTGTTATCCTACTGTTTTTGGCGTACGGCCATCTTATAATCATTTGGCCCGTGCACTTGCGCGTCAGCTTAATCTTATTGGCTTATTACAGCGGCACCTGTATGACGGTTTTGTTTTGATACCGGAGTATTCCACTCTTTCATCTGTAGAATGGAGAACTTATACAATATATTTAAATAATTCCACGGTACGTGTGAATACCACACGTCATTTCGGATCCTTCCGATCCACTTTTTAGGTACGCCAAGCACCGGTCATCGTTCTCGTCGAACCCGTCGCTTACGACGAAGGGCTCGTCGAGTAAATTAACCCACAGATACAGCCCACTGAGTTTCTCGCCGGATCTTCTCAGTGGGTCGCGTTTCCGATCCTGTGGTACATTCTGCGAAGCACGGCTCTTGCTAGGGTTCGTGTTAGCAACGTCGTCAGGTTTAAGCCCCGTGAGCTCTTTTTTTATTTTTTTTATTGCATAGATGGGTGGACGTGCTCACACAGCCCACCTGGTTTTAAGTGGTTACTGGAGTCCGTAGACATCTACAACGTAAATACGCCACCCACCTTGAGATATAAGTTCTAAGGTTCTATAGTTACATACATACAGGGTAAATATTTATATATTTTTTTTAAATTGTCTTGTTTATTTAGATTAACTATATTTGCGTATTTGTTTTTCAATACTACAACATTTCAATAAGTTTGGAGTGTGAAGTTTTCTAATGTAAAGACAAAAACAATTGATAAGCTTATTGCGTATAGATATCAAAGATGCATTGCTATTTTGATTTTAATCTCTACTTATCGCTTGGAACCTCTGTGTCTACGGAGGGACTTCGGTTCTCTCTGTGTTTTATACCGCATGGTGCATGGGGAATGCTCTGAGGAATTATTCGAGATGAACCCCTCATCTCCTTTTTATCATCGCACCTCCCGCCATCGGAGCAAAGTTCATCCATATTATCTGGAACCGCTGCGTTCATCGACAGTGCGTTTCCAAATATCTTTTTTGCCACGTACCATCCGGCTATGGAATGAACTCCCCTCCACTGTGTTTTCCGAGCGCTATGACATGTCCTTCTTCAAACGAGGCTTGCGGAGAGTACTTCATGGTAGGCAGCGGCTTGGCTCTGTCCCTGGCATTGCTGACGTCCATGAGCGACGGTGACCACTTACCATCAGGTGGGCCGTATGCTCGTCTGCCTACAAAGGCAATATTTTTTTTTAAAAAAAACTTAATATTATAAAGCTGAAGAGTTTGTGTGTGTTTGTTTGGTTGAACGCGCTAATCTATGGAACAACTGGGCCGATTTGAAAAAAAAATTCAGTGTTAGATAGCCCATTTATTGAGGAAGGCTAAAGGCTATATAACATCACGCTAAGACCAATACAAGCGGAGCACCAATAAAGAATATTTCAAAATCGGGTTTTTTTTTCCCTTTTGAGAGTTACCTTAAATGAGGCCGTCAGCGCAAAACTGGCCTAACCCACAATTTTTCATATTCGTGCTTATACATACATATTTGCAATTTATTTAAAAACAAATAAATGTTGATGGAAAACCGGCCTATCCCCAGTTTCACCCACAGCTAACAGATTGTAAACATTATTTTTGCGCGTATTATTGTTGCTTACGAAGCAGTGTAAAAGTGAATTAAAGCTCTTTATCTCCATACTAACTGTGATAAGCTTAGGCCACTTTTGCGCTGACGGTCTCAAATAGCTCCTTAACATTCTATTATTCAAAAATATTTTCTTTCTACGTAAATGAAGTCGCGGGTAAAATTTAGCGTTATGCCAAAGTAACTATTTGCGGGTGAAGTCGCGGGCAAAAGCTAGTTAAACAATAAAGCAGTTGATTTTCGTTTCTTAGGAATGTTACCAGATTCCAGAGTCCCTAAAAGCGATTCGACCAATAATCATCTGCCGCGAACAAGTTCAAGGTTAACGCCCCAGCATCTGGACGAGCACTTATCATCGAACGGGATTTCGTAAGCTTACACAATAATGATGTTGGTTTCGTCACAGTACGCATGCCCGCTACCCATTCAGGAAAGTCGTTAGAAAGAGACGGAAGAAACGGGAGCGAACGAGATGACAACAGGATCCCGAATGCTAAGGAAACCCACTCGTCACCAATTACCCCACATAACCCATTACATGTTATATCACACGCACACACACACGCACTGAAACGGGCATTTAAAACGCACACACACACAAAAATTTAACTAAAATTTTTCAGAATTAGAATTTCCAAATTCCAGAATCTAAATTTACAAATTCAATTTATTTCCAAAAATAAATTGGATTACGTGCTTCCACATATTTCAAAATGAAACTCGAAATTCGATTTTCAAAAATTATTTTTCTTCCAAGGGTGAATTGTAAAAATAGTTGCTGGCATAATTCAACACACACACACACACACACACACACAAAAAAAAAACACTATTATGTCACGCCTATGCAGATGCTAACGTGTTTAGTCTGTCACTAACCGTATTAGTCTAGATTTTAGGTCACACGTTCCATTATTAATCTGACATATTAAGAAAAATGTGCGTCTCAATACTCACGTCCGCCTGCCGAGACGTAGGAACCGCCGGCACTTAAACATCACACGGGCACGGGGATCATTGAAAAACTATTTTCTTTTTTTTTACTACACCGAAATAATATGCAAAATAAAATATATATGGTTTTCCTTTGAAACGCTAACTCATGTTACGTATTTTAATTCGCGCTTTCGTCTTATCTCCGCGGTTTTACTTAAATGAATAGCCGGTTCGAAACGTTCTCCGCGGCTAGCCTAATATATTTTCGACGTTATAAAATCAATTCGGGACGCGCTGTACGGAGGCCATCTTGTCTCTGAGCCGCCGCGCCGGCAGTTTTGCGTTTAACGCATGCGCGGTAACAACCGAAATATTCTCTAGTCGATTGCGGGTTTTTTTTTCCGGTCCTCCTCCATTATTTCACTACAGATTCCGCGCCCGCCGTTTTTTCGCGCTGCAACTTTGACAGCTGTCATTGTGCAACCTATCCACTGAAGTATGAAACCGTTACTTCAGTGTATGAAACCCTCGAATCGTTGTTGTTAATGACAGTGACAATTCGCTATCAAACGTTTCAAGTCTCGTGCCGATTGTCGGATTCAATTAGGAGAGTCGTGTTGAGTTTTTGCGGCTCCGTGAATCGCTTCACGCAATGCGCGCTCTCTTAATTATATCAAAAAGTTAACTCGTCTGTTTGGTACTTGAAAATCTAAATTTCAGTGTTCATAATAGTAATATTGGGACTACCACCATGTGGCATGTTGATTCAACCATCATTGTTCCAATAGTTGTGTCGGTACACGGTTTGATAGCGAAAAATTTCTATCAACATCTTAAGAAACTTTCGTTATCCGGCTGGGGTAGGGGCTTAATACAGAAAGCAGTTATCCTTGATACTGCGCGCATTGTGAGAAGTTTTCTCACTCTGGAGTCCTAACCACTGATGGCTTGTGTCGTAGACACCGCCATCAGCGGCAATCTATTTTTTATCGTGTTTTTTAAAAATTGTATTAATAATGCCTGTTTTTTTAAAAAAACTGTAATTAATAAGATTTTAAATAAATATAAATAATTAATAATATGCAAAACACCGAAAGGAGAAATAAAAAAGGAACCTCCTCTATGGCATGTTGCAATCTACAAATGTATAGAGTTACGACCTAAGAAGGGTTGAAGTCAGTCTGATGGCTGGTCGTACACCTCATGCCACATGATATAAAAGGACAAGTTGCGCCCGCCCCTTCTAATGTGGCATAGGGACAACAAAAAATGATATTAAAACACACACACAAAAAAAATGGATAACCCTTAAATCCTCTCCCTTCCACGATTCCGATTTTTTATTGTTTGAGAATAGACGAACAGATGAGTTCCTGATCAGCGGATAGCGCGGCCTAGTACCCTTTTGTTTCAAGGAGGTGCCCCACCTCATAAGTGCAGTATCAGCGCTTGCAAGGTGCGGTGTATATGCATCTTGGGAGTAGGGGGGTACCTGCGGTCAATACTACATTCAGATCAACGACGCAGGCGAGGTCACCGCGTCGTCCCATCCTTCTGGTGCCAGCGCGATAAAATGACAGTAGCTTGCGGTGCAGTCTTAGCTCCGTCTTACAGTCTTACAAATAACAGTATAACTAAAACATTTGTAAGGTATTAATGATATTAGCTTAAGTAATTTCTAAGCTATAAATTGCTGCAAACCGCCATGGAATATATCCGTTTCCGGAGCATAGGCTAGCAAGCCATTGAGTAGCGAGACAGCACGTGTCGGAGAGCTAGCGGTGTGCTGCCCCCATAGACACAGCCCACTGAGTTTCTCGCCGGATCTTCTCAGTGGGTCGCGTTTCCGATCCGGTGGTAGATTCTGCGAAGCACTGCTCTTACTAGGGCCAGTGTTAGCAACACTTCCGGTTTAAACGCCGTGAGCTCACCTACGCGTCAGGGCGAAGCTGAAATAGCCTCTCAATGCTATCAGATATAGCGACACTGATTCCAGTACAGAGTCATCAATTTTGTTATTAACCGTTACCAAGAGGAGACTGCCTTCTGACAGGGACCGAAGCTGGACGAACCCCACTCCGACCCCCCGACTGGGCGACAGTGGCTCCAACTGTACAAATCTTCTAAATCAGTTGAGGTGCACCTCAAAGCGACACGCAACGAGAATCATTCTCGTAACTAAATATGATACAAAAACTAAATAAAAAAATGCGCTCGAATATCNCATGGGTTAGGTTGCACGGCGAACTCTTTGTCGAGTTCGACGAGTACGGTTACCGAGGTCCCTAAGCCTGCTCCTAGTGTTAGAGCTGAAGGCGTCTAATGCAAAGGTTATTGGATCTGATGGATCCGTAAGGACGTGTCTAGGGCGTCGACGGTGACTGGCTCCTGCGTGATCAGGATTCGGGGAGTAGTCAGCGGCGACAACGATAAGGCGATTATCATGACGCATAGCCTTATCGAAGAAGAAGACTCCACGCCCCGACTCGGCGACGGTGGCTCCAACTGTACAATTCTTCTAAATCAGTTGAGGCGCACTCCAAAGCGACACGCAACGAGAATCATTCTCGTAACTAAATATGATACAAAAACTCAATAAAAAAACGCGCTCGAATATCAAACCGAAATAACAATTAAAATAATCCATTTTAGTAATTGTTTTAAGCTTTCACGGCTATCTACATTATCGCTACATATTTATACATTATAATAATAATAAAATAGCTTTATTTGATCCCAGAATAACTAGACAGAGCTTAATTACTTTAGTATTTATTATATTACTAAATAATCATAATAAATTTACTACTCATGCAATTTAATCTCCTTCCAATGTGGACCCCCTCAGGGTCTTACAAAGAATTCCATTTTTCCTTATATTTATCAGTGGTCATCCAGTCTCTACCTGCTTTGGATACATTCTCGTCCTGCCACCGGACAACCGGGCGACCTCTACTGCTCATGCCCTGCGGTCCTTTCCATTTTGTGGTGTTAATTGTAGATCGATTGTAATCGTAACTATCTCATAACATGGCCAGCCCATCTCCATTTGAGACTTGAGAGAAGTGTAGAGCATCCTATACCTTGGTTATTATCCAAATTTTTATGTTTCTAACTCTATCTCTCAGCTTTATATTTAAACAGCTCCTTTCCATTGCCCTCTGAGTTGTCTGTATTTTTTGTCTTGCCTTGTGATCATATATCCATGTTTGGCAGCCATAGGTTAGACAGTTAGACAATTGTTGTGTCTAAAATTATCCTTTTCAATTTCAACGATAGTATAACAAAAATAAAATATAATAGAAAAATAATTTAAAGGTAATATTTATTATAGATTTATCTTTTGTCGTATCACTCTTGTCAGAGCGGTCGTGGTCGTCATTCTGTATCATTGCTGCGGGCAGATGTTGTGGGCCTCACGAGCAATCGCCACTCCTCCCGGCTTGTGGTGAGCCTGGGACACTCATGCAAGCAGCCGTCAACTGCCGACTTGATCTGGTCGCTCCATCGTATGGGCAACCTTCCACGCGGTCTAGTGCCTTCTACTTTGACATTATATTTAGATTACCTTTAGTGAATTCTCGATGTTTCGGCGTTTTGAAAGTGCCAAGATCGCGGGTAGATTGAAGATTGCGTGATGCTAGGAGCATATCGACTCTTGAAAGGCAAACATGACTAAGCGACAAAAGTACGTGAAATGAGTTATATACACCATTGGAATCGTCTTATTTTTTTGCATCGTTTAGTTTTTTTTTTTTTTTTGTCAGGAGGCAATCACCGTACTTCCGCCCTCGAGGCGATTCGCCCAATCCTTGTAGATTGGGCCGATTTCGCCCAAGCCCTGGCTCTCTAAGTGTTTCGGGTCCCCCTCACATGTCGGTCTGGAGACCGGCGAGCCCCCCCCCCTTCTTAGGCCCCGCCTAAGAAGACGACGTGCAAGCTGCTCTGCATGCGTTTTACGCAAGAGCATCCGGGTGATGGAAGGCCGCCTCTCCTCGACCCACGCTGGTTCTGGTCCAGCGGGGTATTCCGTAGGATAAGTAACTCTAACCGGCGCCATCTAGGCGGGCTTCGGATAGCCTGCCGACCGAGAGGGCTGGTGGTCGTGGCGCCGACGACCGCCAGTCCGACGTCCCGAAGGGGAGGGTGATGGGAGAGATGTACTCCGCACTAAGCACTTCACTTTCCTCCCTTTGCCTTTTCATGAGTTCTGTCTCATGTGAGGTTTGGACGTTGGTTGTTGAGCGACAAGAGGTTTTAGTCGGTTCGACTCCGACATAGTCCGCCCGCCGTCCCCAGTGGAGGACGGAAGTCCGGCGATTTCCTCCCGACCAAAAAAAAAAAAGGTTAGGTCTTAAAAAAATCCTCGTCCTGCCTTAATCATAATTTGAATAGCCACTATCTGAATAGTCAATAGATCAGTAAATTACTAGATAATAGTATATTTTTTATTTCTATAGTATCTTCCGAATGGGCTCATAGGTCCATTCCTCGTCTGACGAAATATTCCCGTTTGTCGCTGACTCCAGACGCTGACGCAGATCTTCTTGTCTTGAAGTTTTCGAATGATCTTTGAACGGTGTCTGCCGAGAGCGTAAATGTTCGGGCTGCGGTTTGTTATTAGATAATTCTGGAAAACAAAAGTTTTATGACCAATTTAGAGGTACACGATTTTCCGGTATTCAAGGATTTGCAGAAAAAAAATTCAAATACCCAGATTGTATTTACTTATATTGTATTCTATCTCTGGTTTTTTATTTATTGCTAAAATGGGTGGACGAGCTCACAGCCCACCTGGTGTTAAGTGTCACTGGAGCCCATAGACATCTACAACTTAAATGCCCCACCCACCTTGAGATATAAATTCTAAGGTTACACAATATAGTTACAACGGCTGCCCCACCCTTCAAACCGAAACGCATTGCTACTTTACGGTAGAAATAGGCAGGGTGGTGGTACCTACCCGTGCGGACTCACAAGAGGTCCTACCACCAGTAATTACGGATATTATAATTTTGCGAGTTTGATTTTTATTACACGATGTTATTCCTTCACCGTGGAAGTCAATGGTGAACATTTGTTAAGTACGTATTTCATTAGATCATTGGTACCCGCCTGCAGGATTGGAACACCGTTTCATAACTAGATAAGAATGCACCGGACGTCTTATCCTTTAGGTCACGATGACGACAAATCCCATAATATGGTTCCCATAATAAAGTGAATCCTGGTTTGAGACCAGATGAGCGTCGGTTATTATTATTCATGGGGACTGGTTAACATCGCTCATGGTCGACAATCGATCCAAGCTGGTGTCTTCCGTTGGACGGTTCGCAAGCCACGTTTAAGGGTAGATGTGTGATAGACAGGCTCTGAGAAGGCTGCTGCTCATTTACCACGTCCCTTAGTCTTAAGTCCCCTGAGTACAAACAGGGTTGAGCTATTCTGAACACCAAAATAACTAATAGGGAACTTACCGTGAGGTAATTTCTTTTGAATCAGAGTATTCAGCTCCGACGATATATTGGTATGGTTAAGGCGAACTGTAATGATAAGGAAGGTCAATATCTCTGTTGGTAATGAGAAGAGCAATTAGAAAAGGTTTACCCGATCCAGTGGACCGAATGGTAAACAGTCGTCGTCGCCCTAAACACGTCATGATGGATCTTTCGGATCCATTAACGGTGCTTTTAGGTACCTCAAGCACCGGTCACCGTCCTCGCCGAACCCGTCGCTTGTGATGAAGGGCTCGGCAAGTAAACTAATCCACAGACACAGCCCACAGAGTTTCTCGCCGGATCTTCTCAGTGGGTCACGTTTCCGATCCGGTTGTAGATTCTGCAAAGCACTGCTCTTGCTAGGGCCATTGGTAGCAACATTTCCGGTTTGAGCCCCGTGAGCTCACCTACTAGTTCGGTGTATCTAGAATAACCCCCCGAAGTTAATAGAATAGGTAGGAAAAAAGGGTTAGAAGAGCCCTTGGACTTACTGGATGTCGTAACGTCGGCAGACAGTCACGAGGTGGACCAATGACCTGTCAAAGTGGCTGGTAGGGACTGGATGAGAACGGCAAGAGACCGAAAAGAATGGGGTGCATTTGAAGAGAGCTACACTCATCATTGGTTGGAAGAGTGCAGAGGGGTTGAAGAAGAAAAGAGCCCGTAGCCTAATTACGGACTTGTAAATGTACGACCAATAAATCGTTGCAAATTTTAAATCTCTTATGTGTATAAATATAGCTTTCGAGAAAATCTAATAGAAGTACCTCCTGAAAAAAACTATATGCAAATAATTTTTAGCACATATGAGATACTTTGATCTATACTAATACTAATACTAATATACTAATAATATTATAAAGAGGAAAGATTTGTTTGTTTGTTTGTTTCGAATAGGCTCCGAAACTACTGGACCGATTTGAAATATTCTTTTTCCATTAGAAGCCGACATTGTCCCTGATGAACATAGGCTACTTTTTTTATTTTATTTTTTATTTATTTTTTTTGGTTTCATGTGTGTTTTAATGTTTCCGAAGCGAAGCGAGGGCGGGTCGCTAGTCCATAATAAAATTCAAACAAATATTTAGGATTTCTTAAGATTGACGCGTAATAATGTGAAATATAGAGATACACACATGGGAATGTTTTACTGAGTATAGTTATTCAAAATAACTTTGATAATATATGAAAACATCGTTTTGGCCCAAAGCGTCGCATAGGAGATTTTAAATTTGCAACGACGAAAAGACGGTTGTGAAAGCAATGCGCTCGTAAGGGGGCTTCCGTTAATTACGCAAGGAGTTCCAGAGGGGGCATCAATATTTCGAAATCTCAGGGAGAGGGGGGTGGTAAATACCAAATATCACGTGACTCGCAAAAAGTCGTAGAAAATCGTCGTGCGGACCATCACGCGGGAGGGGGGAGGGAGTTGAGGAAAATCTTACGAAATCTCAGCGAGGGAGCGAAAGGGGGTAGAAATGTTTCTCAAAAATGCCTCACGTAATTAATGGACGCCTCTTAATACCCAGAGAATGCTGCAGCCAAGACAAGCTGTTACTGGTGGTAGGACCTCTTGGGAGTCCGCGCGGGTAGGCACCACCCCGCCTATTTCTGCCGTGAAGCAGTAATGCGTTTCGGTTTGAAGGGTGGGGCAGCCAGTGTAACTATACTTGAGACCTTAGAACTTATATCTCAAGGTGGGTGGCGCATTTACATCGTAGATGTCTATGGGCTCCAGTAACCACTTAACACCAGGTGGGCTGTGAGCTCGTCCAACCACCTAAGCAATAAAAAAAAGACAAAAAGAGATGTTCTTCTAAATAGATTAGTATGAATTATTTATAGCATCTTATATTAATTATATCTATACTAATATTATAAAGAGGAAAGATTTGTTTGTTTGTTTGTTTCGAATAGGCTCCGAAACTACTGGACCGATTTGAAAAATTCTTTTGCCATTAGAAGCCGACATTGTCCCTGATGAACATAGGCTACTTTTTTTATTATTTTTTTATTTTTTTTTTTTGGTTTCATGTGTGTTTTAATGTTTCCGAAGCGAAGCGAGGGCGGGTCGCTAGTTATCTTATATTATTATATTCATAACCTATATTAATCAATATAACAATGAATACAAGAACGTGTTTCCCTAAGGCCATGACATAATTCCCTTCAAACCTTGCTCGAAGTCCTAGGCGACGAGCTGTTAGCTGTGCCCTTGGATAAAATACATCTGCAGTAAGAATTCAACGTCCACTACCGCCTGCTTTCCTCAAAATGAAATAGAAACATCATACTTCCATCAACATCATATTCCAGAGATCTTTTCTGCCACGTACCATCCGGCTTTGGAATGAGCTCCCCCCCACGGTGTTTCCCGAGCGCTATGAGATATCCTTCTTCAAACGAGGCTTGTGGAAAGTATTAAACGGTAGGTAGCGGCTTGGCTCTGCCCCTGGCATTGCTGAAGTCCATGGGCGACGGTAACCACTCACCATCAGGTGGGCCGTATGCTCGTCTGCCTACAAGGAAATAAATAAATAAAACTTGCCATTTGGTTTGACCACGTGAGGTCTCGTCGGAGTTCTGGCGGCTTTCGGTGACGCAGAGGGACTGGTCTGATGCGTCTCGTTGCCTCTGGATGTCTCTGCGTGTGATTTAGAGATTCTCAATGATCTATTTACTGAATAGTTCATGAACACAGATAAAGGGTCCCAAAAATGCTTTGTTTTATTGCTTAGATGAGTGGACGAGCTCACGGCCCACCCAGTGTTACCGGAGCCTATAGACATCTACAACGTAAATGCCGTCATCTAACTGAGATATAAGTTCTAAGGTCTCAGTATAGATACAACGGCTGCCCCACCATTCAAACCGAAACGCATTACTGCTTCAGGGCAGAAATAGGCAGGGTGGTGGAACCTACCCGTGCGGACTCACAAGACGTCCTACCACAAGTCATTACGCAGATTACAATTTTGCGGGTTCGATTTTTATTACACGATGTTATTCCTCCACCGTGGAAGTCAATCGTGAACATTTGTTAAGTACGTGTTACATTAGAAAAATTGGTACCCACCTGCGGGATTCGACCACCGGTGCATCGTTACATACGAATGTACCGGACGTCTTGTCCTTTAGGTCACGACGACTTCAAGCTTCGTCTTTGTTGGATCAAACGTTGGTCCAAGATCTCAGTCAATGGCACTTATCGGGACTGAGAAGCGGCCTTACCTTTAAAATATCCGGGTATCGGTGGACGAGGCTTGATATTCCGAAGGTGTTGCATCTTAGGTGATTCTTGAAAAAAAAAAACAACGGATCATGTTTTAGTACTTTTTTTCTACCTATGCTGATGGCCTTGAGAAGCTATATCAGCGTTACCGAACTAGTGGCTAAGTTCACGGGGCTCTAACCTAACGATGTTGCTAACACTGACCCTAGCAAGAGCCGTGCTTCGCAGAATCTACCACTGGATCGGAAACGCGACCCACTGAGAAGATCCGGCGAGAAACTCAGTGGGCTGTGTCTATGGGTTAATTTACTCGACGAGCCCTTCGTTGCAAGCGACGGGTTCGACGAGAACAATGACCGGGCTCAGGGTTCGAAGGGTGAGGCAACTGTTGTACTGCACAGCCACCACAATTTTGAGCGATTAGATTTGTATTAATACTACTAATCAATCTTGTATCTATCTCATTAGCGGAACTATTTCCATTTATTTCCTTAGATCCGTAACGAAATCGTCGGCAGTCAAATTAAAGATCATTTAATTGTATTTGGATGTTATATGAATAATATGCTGATTGAAAGTCAAACTAAACTTTATCGCTGGTGTCAGAAGCGATACAGTTCTGAAAATAATCCATGCAAAAAAAATCATTTGAGTTGACGGATCCTTTAAATATTTTTGTAATAAACACTAGTCAAATCATATTTGTAATTGGTTTAATTATTATCTTTAATGAAGCCATTTATGGGAGCTTTTTGCAAATGTACTCTCGTATGCTCTTAAAGCTATTACAGAAAGTAACTCAAGGTAGCAGCAAAAATAATAATAATAAATAATAAAGATCATTTATTGCCTTTCACATCATAAAATGAAATACAAAAAAAAGAAAAGCAAAAAAAAGAGAAAAAGGCAAAAGGAGGTGGCTCAGCTATTGCTGTTCAAGGTTGATAAATTGAACAGCGCTGATTTTCAGTCTCCCCCGTTTCCCTTTGGTTCTTTGCGGGAAATGTACTATTATTTCCATTAGTATTCATATAATGCAATTCTACCGCTACATCTGCACCATTTGTTGAAGATACCGTCTCTAAAAACGTTTCTCCACGCTTTCTTTTATATGTTAGGTGGGTGGAAAACGCACCTTGAAACATGAGCCTGAATTTTAAGTACAATAGCTGCCCCACCATTCAGACCGGAACGCATTGTTGCTCCGCGATAGAAATAGATAGGGTACTCACGGGTATCCACGACGTCCTACCCGAGTATCAGTCTTTATTACATGATGTTATTCCTCCATCATGGACGACATTACTGAACATGTGTTAAGTACGTATTTCATCAGACAAATTGGTCTCTGACTGCGAGACTCGAACATAGCTGGACACGAATATACTGCGCGCCTTACCCTTACGCCGCGACTAAGTTGGTATGCCTTGACACAGAACTATTGACACAGAATCAAATTATATTGTAAGATCCTTGTGTCGTGACACCATAATTCCGGGTCGCCCGCAACTTCGAGAATCTTCTCGATACAAATGCGTCAAATGAGGTCAAATTTGGTTGTGTCATACAGAAAAGACACACGCGCAAAGCTTTGAATGCATCTAGATACTCACTCGGCATAATTGGTGGTGGTTCATATGGATTCTCGTCGTCAGCGAATTCGTTCACGACCACACAACCTAAATTCATCAAAATAAAACGCGTTGAATAAAAAAAAAATAGTTAATTTGCTTCCAGGAATCCCACATAAAATTCGCCAAAAGTCGTAAGACATTTGAATTTGTTTCGATTTTATTCTTATAATGGGCGGTTCTGTAATAACCCATGAAGGGTTCCCATCAGACAGGAGATCGGTCGTTAAGTTCATGCCAAATCCCTATGCATGATATGAGGTCATGCTGCCTTGACCCCACATGGACAAGGCCAAGAAGAAGAATTAAGCAGTCCAAAGAAAACAGAGATCTTTTCATTTGGCATCAGCACATTTGTTCCGAATTGCTGTATCTACGATTGAAGTCGACTTAACAATCGCCTACCTTCATTCAATTTTGAACATTAGCAGACGAAACTTGAAGAGTTAAAATAATACGAATACGCCAAAGGAACTGACATTGGCATTCCGCAACTACAATCAAATTGTGCAAACATAAATCAATCTGTATTAAACTTACATTGACGAGACGGCAGAGAAGCAGCGTAATCATTACCTGCAAATGTTATATTTCAATTAAAAGGTACAACAATATAATTTTGAAGTCGTCGTGCCCTAAAAGATAAGACGTCCGGAGCATTCGTGTTGAAGCGATGCACCGGTGTTCGAATCCCGCAGGCGGGTACCAATTTTTGTAATGAAATACGTACTCAACAAATGTTCACGATTGACTTCCACGGTGAAGGAATAACATCGTGTAATAAAAGTGAAACCCGCAAAATTATAATTTGCGAAATTACTGGTGGTAGGACCTGTTGTGAGTCCGCACGGGTAGGTACCACCAACCCGCCTATTTCTGCCGTGAAGCAGTAATGCGTTTCGGTTTGAAGGGTGGGGCAGCCGTTGTAACTATACTGAGACCTTACAATATATCTCAAGGTGGGTGGCGCATTTACGTCGTAGATGTCTATGGGCTCCAGTAAGAACTTAACACCAGGTGGGCTGTGAGCTCGTCCAACCATCTAAGCAATAAAAAAATAAAAAAATATAGCTGTCTAAAGTTAGGATTTAAGAAAAACGTTTCCAAAACCAGAAGTCCTGTTGGCGACTAATGGCATGATAAAACCGAAAACAATGCGGATAAATATGTCACTAAACGTGATTGAAATATCGATATATGACCGCTGATTTGGCATCTCATGGAGTGAGCTGAGGGTTTTTGCTCAAGTCTCCACTACCTGTCCTTTCCCAATTCTGTATTAGTAGATACCAGAGGCTTTGATGGACGAGCGGTTAGATACATGTGTTCCACCCTACCACATAAAACCATTTAATCAAGGCAAAAAATGGAATATTGTAATGATATTTACGTCATGGCAACTGGTTGGATTATGATAAAATTCATTCGATTAGTCATGAGCTAATAAGCGATCCTTCTGATATTACGTGAATACTATAATTTGGTCTCTCAATTGAAATATCAATTAGTGTAATGAACATCCTATGTTTCTTTAGTCAGGAGACTCGGAATCATAGCAAATGTAGGCAGATTGGCGTGCAATATCCGTTCCCACAGAAGGTTTTTTTTTTATTTTTTTTTTATTGCTTAGACGTGTGGACGAGCTCACAGCCCACCTGGTGTTAAGTGGTTACTGGACCCCATAGACATCTACAACGTAAATGCGCCACACACCTTGAGATATAAGTTCTAAGGTCTCAGTATAGTCACAACGGCTGCACCACCCTTCAAACCGAAACGCATTACTGCTTCACGGCAGAAATAAGCGGGGCGGTGGTACCTACCCGTGCGAACTCACAAGAGGTCCTACCACCAGTAATTACGCAAATTATGATTTTGCGGGTTGGATTTTTATTACACGACGTTATTCCTTCACCATGGAAGTGAATCGTAAACATTTGTTAAGTACGTATTTCATTAGAAAAATTGGTACCCGCCTGCGGGATTCGAACACCGGTGCATCGCTCGATACGAATGCACTGGAAGTCTTATCCTTTAGGCCACGACGACTTCAATTGACTTCGACGGACTTGCAATTTAAGAAGTTAAGTTGACAATGCATATCTATATCCCTACTGTGGTAGGGGTAATTCAAGTAGACTGGATATCTTTTGATTTATAGCCATACATACATAGCTTATTGGCACTACCCATTCCCGATCCTGCGGACAGAATGGAAAGCAGTCGACGTCGCCCAAAACACGTCATCTCGGATCCTCGCGATCCACTAACGGTGCTTCTAGGTACTTCAAGCACCGGTCATCGTTCTCGTCGAACCCGTCGCTTGCAACGAAGGGCTCGACGAGTAAATTAACCCATAGACACACCCCACTGAGTTTCTCGCCGGATCTTCTCAGTGGGTCGCGTTTCCGATCCGGTGGTAGATTTTGCGAAGCACGACTCTTGCTAGGGTTCGTGTTAGCATCGTCGTTAGGTTTGAGCCCCGTGAACTCACCTACTAGTTAAGGTTCCGCTGGAATAGCCTCTCTAGGCTACCAGCTTAGGTAGGAAAAAAAAAAAAACACTACCAATAACTTTTTCACAGAATCTTCAAAGCAGGTCGTGATTCCGATTCGGTGGTTGATTCATTGCAGCACTGCTCTTCCTAGTGTTAGGAAATTCTGGAAAGCTGAGCCCCGTGAGCAGTTTACGGATCTGTACGGTGATCCAGGGGGTAAAAAGCTATGAATTTGAGAAACGCTGTACGTACCGATCGCTTTTTGAAGTCTCAGTATGGGGGGCTTACTCAAAGCCCTTGACATGGTCATAGAAGAGTGCTGCTTAAAACTTCTCCGCAACTGTTTTGTTACCGTCATTGGTTCTGAAACAATATTAATTAAACACTTTATTGCATCATAGACCGTCCAACGAGCAAGGGATCTGATTGGTTAACCAGTAATAGTGAGCGAGCTCCTCTCTAGCGAACCCTTGGGTCTGCGGAGGGACTTAATAATAATAATAATAAACATTTATTCCAAACATAAATTAAGTACGAAAAATAAATAAAAAAGATAACAAAAATAACGAGGCTTGGAAACGGTTACCGGCTCAGCAATGCCTAACAGTACCGAGTACAATCGGCACTGCGGCGCTAATCTTCCGCCTGCACCTGCGGTGTGACGCGCACACCAGCACCAGACCGACCAATACACAACATTGTAAAATATATTAAAAAATAAAAAGAACATGAATTAAAAAAAATTAAAAATTTCGGTTTTCTTTGTATTTTGTACCGTATTTTCCATGGGGAGTGCTCTTAGGAATTGTTTGAGATGATCCCCTCATCTCCTTTTTTCATCGCACCTCCCGCCATCGGAGCAGATCCATATTATCAGGAACTGCTGCGTTCATCGACAGTACGCTTCCAAAGGTCTTTCTTGCCACGTACCATCCGGCTATGGAATGAGCTCCCCTCCACGGTGTTTCCCGAGCGCTATGACATGTCCTTCTTCAAACGAGGCTTGTGGAGAGTATTAAGCAATAGGCAACAGCTTGGCTCTGCCCCTGGCATTACTGAAGTCCATGGGCGACGGTAACCACTCACCACCGGGTGGGCCGTATGCTCGTCTACCTACAAGGGTAATAAAAAAAGCTTACGGCCTGATGTTAAGTTACCAAGGATCAGAGGTATTACAACCTGAACGCCACCAGTTCCTTTGAGACTCGCTTCAAACCCGAATATATGACGAATTCCCGGCAGAAACAGGCAGGTGCTGCGCCCCACCACAATGAGCAATACGATATAGCCTAATTTTCAGGATAATAATAATAAAAATAATATAACTCTTTATTTGACGCCACATGTACAGAGTAAGCATATAAAAACAAATAATAGAAGGTGACATAAATTGGCGGCCTTATCGCTGGAAGCGATCTCTTCCAGGCCACCTTGCGGGGAGAGGAATAAGCAAACTAGCATAGTCGGTGCTATATCTTAATAAACTTACATAAAAATTTGTACTTATATACATATGTGAAAAATAAACACAATATAAGATAGACTTACATACGATTAAATACAAATAAATACTAAAAATATTCAAGTAAATACAAAATAAGTAGCAACTTTTGCAGTTATATCGTAGGAGCCATATTATTGCGCAAGGTAGTGCGATTTTAATCTGAACTTGCAAATTTCCGGCGAGGACGATTGTTTGATGCTTAAGGGTAGTTAGTACAAGATTAATGCTTAAGGGTAGTTAGTGACTTTTTGGCTGGAACGCGAGGAGTGAAGATGTGTGATTTGTTTTATTTTGTCTATTTAGTGTTTCTTCGGGTTTAAATGTACAATAATGGTGGCTTATTAACTGTTTAATATCTGTGAAAGTGCACAAATGTGGAAAAATGAAACAAATCCGCTGGACGTAACTTCTCGGGATCCTCCAAAAAGTCCACTGAAAAAATCTTAGTAAATGACCACCATTTTACTCAGATTAAATTTCATCCCATATCATCTCATTTCATTTCATTTCATCCCAGTTGATTAATGTCTCAAATTAATCATCTTCATTACATTTCACTACCTTTTATCATTTTTCATAAAAATAAGAATATAAATTAAAATAAGACATGACTTAAAGGTCTTAGTTAACAGGTCATAAAATCCATTAAAAAAAAAGGGTAGTTAGTAGTGGTAGATTTGTGTTTTTGAAAGGGCGAGGCAGCCGTTATATTGAGACTCGGATCTCATGTCTCGAAATAATGAATAGAATGGTCTCAAGTAGGTAATGGAATGGAAATGGGTAAATTTCTGTTGCAACTTACTGTTTCTTGGGGCGTTAATCGGCGAATGACTTTTGATGTTTTCGTTTGGAGCCAGCTTCTCGGTACTGCCTAGAAATTTATCAAGATTTAACTCGCTCTTGTCGTGTTGTGATTGCTTACGTACTATTTATTATCTATATATATTAGTACTTATATGTAAATAAATATAAATAAATATTTACTAACAATCACGCCACGTTAACTGGTCCCGCGATAAGTTCATAAAGAACTTGTGTTACAGGCACCAGATAACGGATATAAATGTAAGATTTTTATTATACACATACATATATTTAATAGACATCCATAACCCTGGAAAAGACATTTATATTTATCATACAAATATCTTCCCTTGGCGGGATTCGAACCCGCGACCCCCCTGTGTAGTGACCATGTCACTTACCACTACACCAGACGGCCGTTATATGTCTATTGCTATTGATAAGAAAATTGAGAACGGGAAAAATCGGAATATGAACAGTGCAGTAATGGCATGGAATGACTGCAAGTGTACCAGTCCTCACATCTTTGAAGCCACAACGGCTTTCGGTGGACGCCCAAAGGTAATGCCCGGAGAAATCCTTGATTCCAATTAACCAAATTCATCGTTATTCTATTCATTGCTAATATGGGTGGACGAGCTCACGGCCCACCTGATGTTAAATGGTAACCGAAGTCCGTAAACTCAACAACGTAAATGCCGCCATCCACCTTGAGATGTGAGTTCTAAGGTCTCAGTATAGTTACAACGGCTGCCCCACCATTCTAACCGAAACGGCAGGGCTTTACGGCAGCAATATGCAGGGCGGTACTACCAACCCGTGCGAACTCACAAGAGGTCCTACCACCAGTAATTACGCATATTATAATAGTGGGTTTGATTTTTATTACACGATGTTATTCCTTCGCCGTGGAAGTCAATCGTGAACATTTGTTAAGTACGAATTTCATTAGAAAAATTGGTACCTTTGGCCTCATATCGCTACAAACGAATGCTCTGGACCTCCTATCCATTAGGCTACGACGACTTCAACAAACGTAGCCTTAATCAACATTCAGTGACACTTAAATTATCGATTTTAATGACAGTATGTCGAATATAGTTTCATAAGCATTTATCACAAGTTAAACTTTGATTTAATGGAAATAACTCACTTGGAACATTCGGAGGTGGTTCGTATCCGTCGGTAACTTCTTCGCGAACTAGTTCGCATCTCTTTGGCGTTTCTAAAAGAGAAATAATTATTATTACCGCGGTCTTCAGTCTATTGTTCGCAATTCGCCGAAATATCTGAAGCTCATAAAACGTGAAACTTTGGTACAATTCGTAAAAAAAATACACATCTTTTTCATAGCTTAGATGGGTGGATGAGCTCACAGCCTACCTGGTGTTAAGTGGTTACTGGAGCCCATAGACATCTACGACGTAAATGCGCCACCCACCTTGAGATATACATTCTAAGATCTCAAGTATAGTTACAATGGCTGCCCCACCCTTCAAACCGAAACGCATTACTGCTTCACGTGATGGTGTGAACTCACAAGAGATCCCACCACCATCACACATATCTATGCATGTCTATGTACACATATCAAAATAGCCTATCCACTGCCATGTCGGAAGGCGGTCAGGAACTATTCATTTCGTATTTATCACAGAACCAAATCTGACGGGATTCAGTCACGCTAAACATACAACAATTACAACAAACACTTAAAGTACACCGTACTTCATAAATGACTATGTCGAGGATTTTGTCACTTACCTTTATGCTCGTAGGAATAAATGCGGATCGACAGTACGGTTATAATTAGGAGGCATAATATTAAGGCCACTATGTAGATAGCGGCAGTCGAGAAATAGAGGCACACTTGATCTGAAATTGAAATAAAGGTTAATTCATCGAGACATTCCGATGTAGATATGATATGACCGCACGGGTAGGTACCACCACCCCGTCTATTTCCGCCGTGAAGCAGTAATGCGTTTCGGTTCGAAGGGTGGGGTAGCCGTTGTAACTATACTGAGACCTTAGAACTTATATCTCAAGGTGGGTGGCGCATTTACGTTGGAGATGTCTATGGGCTCCAGTTACCACTTAACATCAGGTGGGCTGTGAGCTCCTCCATCCATCTAAGCAATAAAAAAAATAAAAAAAAAGATATTGCGAGCCAGATCTTCCCAGGACCGATGCTCCACTAGCGTGTAGTGTGAGAAATAAACTTTAGATTTTCCGTACCTATTCGCTGGTAGGCTATTCCGACTAAACTCTGATAAGCTCACGGGCTGAACCTGACAAAATTTGCTAACACTAGCTCCGCAGAGTAAGAGCAGCGCTTCGCAGAAAGTACTGTCGCATCGGAATCGCGACCCACTGAGAAACTCAATGGACTGTGTCTTTGGGTAAGTTCGCTCGTCGTATTCGACGAGTTTTGCGAGAACGGACGTGTGAGAGAGGGGTCTACGCTGAACTCATACACCACTAACGAGCTACAGAAGTGTTTTCGGCCAGCTCCGACCCCTCTAATTACCAGGAATAAGATCGACTGGTTTATCCCGTTCCGACTCGGTCCGGTTCCGACTCAGACTGGTTAGCGCAGCGGGCTATTCCGCAACACCAGCAGCATCGCCTGGGGTGGCCTCACGTCTTTACTGTGGCGTGTCGGACTGTATAAATTTCCACTATCTCCATTACCACCTCTTTCGATTCTGCTTCAGACTGTCGGCGAAAGAGTATAAAGGAGTTGTTAATTGAATTAATTCAATCACTTCCTTTCGTCTGTCCCCACTTTATCATCATCATCATTCTCCTGCCCTTCTCCCAGTCACCTGGGGTCAAGGCGACATCTTTTCTCCTTCCATACTCCTCTATCATATACCATTTCTTCGCTCACTCCCCTCTTACACATATCATCTACCACGCAATCCATCCATTTTTTCTTAGGTCTACCTCTTCCTCTATATCTTTCCACATTCATAGTTAACACTCTCTTATTAACCTCATTTTCATTTCGCTCCCCCTTCGCTTCCCCACTTCGGCAGAAGAAAAACCCTTATCTATACTAATATTATAAAGAGGAAAGATTTGTTTGTTTGTTTGTATTGAATCTCCTCCTCGCGTCGTTTCCTCACTGCTGAGGGTCGTAACCGTTATAAAATTATTAAAGACCCGAGCGGAGCCGGAGCGGGCCACTAGTAGGATATAAAGTTGAATCAATACTTACCCTGATAACTCAGGCAGTCAGGCAGAGATCGCGGCAGTGACGCCGGCGTGACGGGTTGTGGTCGCTCCTCATAGGACGTCGTCGATTTGGGGTCACCTAGTGCACCGGACATAGTTGCGTTTGACCTCTCTTTGAAATAAATAATTTTAATGGCAACAACACAATGACATCATTTCATTGGTCTTCTTAACAAAGTTACTTTTTTTCCTACCTAATCTGATAGATAGCCTTGAGAGGCTATTTCAGCGTAACCTTAACTAGTAGGTGAGCTCACGGGGCTCAAACCGGAGTGATGCTAACACTGACCCTAGCAAGAGCAGTGCTTCGCAGAATCTACCAGCAGATCGGAAACGCGATCCACTGAGAAGATCCGGCAAGAAACTCAGTGGGCTACGTCTATGGGTTAATTCGCTCGACGAGCCCTTCATCACCAGTGACGGGTTCGACGAGGACGGTGATAGGTGCTTGTGGTACTTAAAACCACCGTTAATGGATCGGGAAAGTTTTTTTTTTTTATAACAATTAAGAGGCAAACGAGCAAGACGGGTCACCTGATGGTAAGTGATTCACCGCCGCCCACGGTCACCAGCGTTTACTTAGATTGGTAAAAGAGGCCCGATGTTATGAATCTAAGTACCTAACTTTCCCGATCCATTAACGGTGCTTTTAGTGGTCCACATTTCAAATTAGACACGACCTTCAGCAATGAAGAGACCGACTCAGAAACAGAAGATGTACCGATATACCTATTAGATGGGCGAATAAATAAATTTTTATGGGAATTGGGTCGCATTTTTTAAATTCGTAAATAGTGAAAACTCGATTAAAGGAAGCGCGAATTAGGGGCTTTTACTGTATACGTAATACAATTAAGCGGTCCATATTACGTCTCAATTTCCAATCTTTCGTATGGGGCTGAGACGTGGACGCTGAGGATGCAAATCGACCGTCGTACGATTGACTCATTGGAAATGTGGTGTTGGAGACGTCTCCTCAGAATTCCGTGGACCGCGCACCGTACCAACGTTTCGATCCAGAAAGAGCTCAACATCAAGGAGAGACTATCGTCAACAGTGCAAATACGAATCCTCAAGTTTTGCAGGCACATCGCACGAGCACGAAATGAGGACTCCATTGAGCGGTGGGTGGTGCAAGGGAAAGTCAAAGAACTCGCGGACGATCTCCAACACGATGGACCGACCTCATAAAATCTGTGACTCACTCCAACATAAATAAATGATTGCTCTCACTCTGCGAAATACCGTGCCCCATGGTGTCGCACGCGAGTGCATCGGTGTCGCAGGATTCGACTCATGCATGACCACGACCACTCTGTCAAGAGTGTACGACTAAAAAGAAGCGCCTGCGACTTTCCACCCCTTAAATTTGTAAGTCAGAAAGAATGACACACGATGCATTTTCCTGTTATGAAGAGTTGCTTCTGCGCTCTCTGGACTAGTTAGACACTACCAAATAGCTGTGGATGTTAAACTACCGAACATACTCTCATTTTTATACAGCAAAATATACCCGCCTTTGTCCGGCTCATGTCATTTACAACCATATAAGGAATTCTATGTGTTAATTCTGACTACAAACTATATTTTTGAGCGTGGTTCAATCGAAGTCGCTCAGGCCTATATTTTGCGTGATTCAATAACAAACATACAAACTTTAACAATTTTAATATTAGCGTAGATAAACTTAGAATATTCCTACCATTGTTTCCACAGTAGACCTTCTGAATTGTACACAAAAATAAAGCAGTCACGTAATTTAACCAATAGCACATATTTTTTTTGGGTTTGCACGGAATTTCAAGTAATTTAATTAATGCAATTAGCTCACACAATATTTATTGGATGATGCCACTAATTTTGTATGTGCAGTACATACGAATGGCACACAGAAAATGACAAAATCAAAGACAAGCGTGACCATAAAATATGGAATTTTGGGATATATATTTCTTTCCTGTATTTGCGTGAATGAACGGAAGACTGCTAAATTGGCCGCTGAGACCAGAAACCGCAATAGACAATGGAAAACTGCTGCTGTAATCCCTCACATACAAATTATAACAACAATAAAATCAGACACGCATAACGATCGAGAAAATGTAACACATCAAACCAGTCTAAACCTTGGGTGGCGGTTGTTAAGGTCGTAATTACGATCAATAGGTTAGTTAGTTGCGACGGCCAGCAGAGTCCATCGAGAAACTGGTTGTTCAGGTTAGCGTCAACGGTAAAAGACCTCGTGGACAAAGCCCCACGCGGTGGACTGATCAATTGAAAGTCCTTAACAAAACCCCACGTAACGAGTGCGTGCGCCAAGCTTCGATTCGCGAACTATGGAGAACAGCTGTCAAGGCTAATAATATACAAGGATTTCGCATGACCACGACTGCTTTGCCAAGAGTAACCGACTATGATGAGGATTAGTTAACACTACTAGATACTGTGTGCTTAGTGCGACTTTTTTAACGTTCTCGATAGCGTAAAAGTTAACTCAAATTTATATGCAGTTGGAACTGCGCCCCTAGCGGCAAACATAGGCAAACGTTCCACATAAATAAAATTTTGAGTTAGCTTTTATGCTATCGAGAACATTAAGAAACTCGCATTTAGCACACTGATGGCTCGATGAAAATTTCGAGAACGGCCCACCTGGTGTTAAGTGGTTACCGGAGCCCATAGACATCTACAACGTAAATGCCGCCACCCACCTTGAAAAATGAGTTCTAAGGTCTCACTTTTAACAGTACAACGCTTGCCCCGCCCTTCAAACCGAAACGCATTACTGCTTCACGGTAGAAATAGGCAGGGTGGTGATACTTACCAGTGCGGACTCACAAGACGTCTTACCACCAGTAAATTAGCCGAACACAACGGTACAGTGCTACGAATTGACATAACTAATTCCGACAACATATCGGCAATGTCTCAGAACCACTAAAATCGTGGTCACATTAATTATCACTTCGAAAACCCCACAACAAAACTGACGCATCTATACTCTTTGCGACTATTGATGTTCGCATTATTAATAAATATAACATTTATCCTGTTACAGCATAGTTGGAATTGAGTTCATTGTTGAATTTGTATGTCAAAATTGCCTGTATTTTTTTTTCTTTCTAAATTGGATAATAATAATAATTAATGGGAAAAAATGACGCGCGGTCGTCGGCCCCAATTTAGGATCCTCTGTGTTATGGCTACCAAAAACTGATAAACATACTAAGACTTATTTACGTTTAAATATATACATATTTATATAATAAACGCTCAAGCTAAGAGCGAACATACTTGTTCATTACACGAATGATTGCCCGATGTCGGAATCGAACCCACGACCCTCGGCACAACAGTCAAAGCCGCTAACTACTTTACCACCGAGTCAGTCATAACGTGGATATGCTAAATCTGACACGGGAACGAAATATCGAATTGAATCCGTATGTGAAATGTTCTTTTTTTTTATGATTGAGAGATTACTGGTGGCCCGAAGGCCTTTCCAGTTTCACCAGGACAGGTGGGCGAGCAAAGGCTCAGCCAGGAGGGGTGGGATTTGCTAACAGCTGCCCGAGCGCCTCCGAAGGAGACCTAACAACTCAAGAGCAATTGCTTCGCGAATGAATCTACTACCGGATCGGAATCGCGACTCGCTAAGAAGATCCGGCGAGAAACTCAGCGGGCTGATGCATGGGCTAGGTTGCACGTCGACCTCTTTGTCAAATGTTCTAATACTATATGACGTTTATACGAAGCTTGTCCTGCGGATTGGATCGCATTTTAATTAGAACTAGTGGTCCCGCAGTAGTCAAAATTCGACTATAATTAATTGAAATTATAAGTTTGAACATTAATATGATTCTATTGTCAAAGACTTCGATGGCTCCAATGAACACTACTCTAACTCAAAATTTTGAAATTTTCGTTTTTCACGCAAACCGCTTCATTATGTTAAAAGTATTATAATTAGTCATTATTGATGGGGTTCGGAGCAAAAGTATATCAGCTAGTTACACAAAAAAAACCATAAATATATCTGCAATAATAAAGATTTTATCAACTTTTTTCGTTTAAACGCTCCTCCTGTAAACCTACGAATTTGGAGTTAGCGTAGTGTTCATTGGAGGCATCGATTTTAATTCTATAATCACAGATTTCGCCAAGACTACACTTTAGACAAATATTAATGAAGACAAACAATATTTAATCTAATCTCAATTTGACCACAGACTAAGAAAAATTTGACAATAAACAAATATTTTGTATGTGTGTGTGTCATATATATGGTAGTGGATGTAATGTTTTTTTATTGGTTTATTGTATTTTTTATGCATAATTAAAAAAATATTAACATTCTGCACTCCTTTTATAGATTCTCTGTAAGCGTGGGAATTTCATAGTCCTCCGTCCGCGTCAATTACGTAAAAAAGGGTACAAAGTTTTTACTTCACGAATGAATATATAGATTAACAAAGACTTTATTGTTTCTCGTTTGAAAAGTCGGCAGGATTGACGTCGGTACGGATTTTGAGTCCGCAGGGGTAGGTACCACCACCCTGCCTATTTCTGCCGTGAAGCAGTAATGCGTTTCGGTTTGAAGGGCGGGGCATTCGTTGTAACTATATTGAGACCTTAGAACTTATATCTCAAGGTGGGTGGCGCATTTACGCTATAGATGTCTATGGGCTCCGGTGACCACTTAACACCAGGTGGGCTGTGAGCTAGTTCACCAATCTAAGAAAATCAAAATAACCTAAAAAAAAAAACATTGCACTTCTGATCAGACTTTGGACAAGTCCTATCAGTCAGTGGACATCTGTGGGCTGAATAGGAGAGAAGGAATGACCAGGGTCACACAGTCTCCGGATCGAGTATTACAGAAAGTGATTACTGACGATTCTTCACAAATTCGGTACATCCTCTTCTCAAGTCCACGTCTACGAGCAACTCTTCAGATCTGCTTACCGAAGACACTGAAATACAACTTTAATGTTAGAAAATTAATGTAAAAACCGCTTAGTGGATGTTGCAGGGGATGAGATTCAGATACTGTGTCTATGGGCACGCGGCGACGGCGTCTATGTAATCTGTAGGGAGCCTTATAAAGACTTCGCATATGTCATATGTATGATGCATCGCCATCATTTTCTCTAATATAATATCGTTAATTCGTCATAATAATGTCGTCATCGTGGCCTAAGGGATAAGACGTCCGGTGCATTCGTATCGAGCGATGCACCGGTGTATGAATCCCGCAGGCGGGTACCAATTTTTCTAATGATTTACTTACTTAACAAATGTTCACGATTGACTTCTATGGTGAAGGAATAACATCGTGTAATAAAAATAAAAACCGTAAAATTATAATTTGCGTAATTACTGATGGTAGGACGTATAGTGAGTCCATACAGGTAGGTACCACCACTCCGCCTATTTCTGCCGTGCAGCAGTAATGCGTTTCGGTTTGAAGGACGGGGCAGCCGTTGTACTGTTACAAGTGAGACCTCAGAACTCATTTTTCAAGGTGGGTGGCGGCATTTATGTTGTAGACGTCTATGGGCTCCAGTAACCACCTGACACCAGGTGGGCTGTGAGCTCGTCCACCCATCTAAGCAATAAAAAACATTCCATACAAATATGAGCTAACATTTACGCTGTCGATAACGTTAACAAACTCGCACTAAGCACACTGAATCCAAAAAAAAAACTATTCAACGAAGACTACCATAGTTCACGTTGAACATTCGCGCCGTGCAAAACCGGTTAGACAATTGAAATATCCTTATTTCGTAACTCTTAGATGAGCGGTCCTTTAATTCTACGCTAATAACATCTTCAAAGCATGTCCAGTTGAGAATGGTTCGTCTGTAATAAGGTCCGGTGCCTGAAAACGATATGGTGGTTGTTAATTAGGTCGATCCATAAACGCAATTACGTCATTTAATTGTTAAATTATTATCATAAACATTTTGAAGTCGTCGCGGCCTAAAGGATAAGACGTCCAGTGCATTCGTGTTGAGCAATGCAACGGTGTTCGAATCAATGGCGGATCCAGGGGGGGGGGGTCATGGGGGTCATGACCACCCCCTGAGCTGGTTCCAGGACTTAGGTGGACCACTAATTGAATATAATGATTTTATTTATATATTTTGTCACCATACAGATTTTATGTAACTACATACCTTCAATATTTAATTAATTTAATATAATATAATAGCTTTGTATAATGGCAAACGTCTGGGAACGAACGCATCTAAATTTGACCATGTGGGGGTCCTGGCGCCAAAGCTGGATCCGCCCTTGGTTCGAATCCCGCAGGAGCGGTACCAATTTTTTTAACGAAATACGTACTGTACCATAGATTATACACTTAATATACTGAACAAATGTTCACGATTGTCTTCCACGGTGAAGGAATAACATTGTGTAATAAAGGTCAAACCCGCAACATTATAATTTGCGTAATTACTGGTGGTATGACCTCTTCTGAGTCCGCGCGGGTATGTGCCATCACCCTGGCTATTTCTGCCGTGAAGCAGTAATGCGTTTTGGTTTGAAGGGTGGGGCAGCCGTTGAACTATACTCAGACCTTAGAACTTATATCTCAAGGTGAGTGGCGCATTTACGTGGTAGATGCCTATGGTCTCTAGTAACCACTTAATACCAGTGGGCTGTGAGCTCGTCCATCCATCTAAGCAATAAAAAAGGGAGAGGTGGGAGACGTTAACGGCTACCCGAATGACTCAGGAAGAACTCAAGAGCAGCTGTTTCGCAATGATCGCAATCGCGACCGGCTGAGAAGATCCAGCGAGAAACTCAGTGGGCTGTGTCGGTGGATAAATTTTCACGACGAACCCTTCGTCAC